ATATATATATATATATATATATTATATATTTATATATTATTATATATAATTATAATTATATATAATATATATATTTTTTCTCAATCATCCATCCAGCCATCAAGCCGCTCAGCATCTGAAGATAATCGGTGATCATCCATCCAGCCATGGAGTGTTCAGCACGTTGTAACGACTGTGATGAAAGCCGAAGGAGGGAACCCTATTTAAACTCGGTTCAAAACCCCTAGAAGAGGAGAGGGAGAGACAATATTCCTGACTTCGCCCCTGCCATCAAGTGTCGGGCCAGGGTCCCATTTCTTAAAGTGAGACCTTGCTAGTTCTACTCGGTTGGAGCCGAGGGCCTAAGCGCCTGTTGGAGCCGGGCTTAGGTGGATTAGGTGGATTAGGTGGTGATCCACATCCCGTTCCTTGCCGGTTGTAGCTAGGAGGGACACTTAGAACTAGCAAGGACGAACGTTGGAAGAGGGCTTGCGGACGGTTGAAGCCCGAGCAACCCCTTCCGATTTCGTTGATTGCCCCAATCACGAGGTGACTGCGCTTGGTGCTGCATCGAGGGTGAGGAGACATTTCTTCCTTTTTTTTAAGAATTTGTCTTAATTCTTTGAAAGGAAGGGTTGCACTCGTGAGGTTGTGCTGAGATCCTTTTGTGTCTAATTTCCTTATTAGGTCTGAATAAATGGAATCTGTGTGAGACCTGATCTGCATAGGAATCCTTGCCCTTATGAATTGGCTCCGTCTCGACCGTTACGAACCTTCCCGAGGGAATAGATCCCATTCTGTTGCGACGTTAAGGCAGTTTGCCGATAACTTCTCGAGTCCATTATCTTGTTTAGTGCTATCGGCCTCACCAGGTGAGATAGTCGTCGCACATCGCATCGAAAAGAGTGCCCTTTATTCGGGCCCACCCTGTAGGATCTTTTCGCAAGGGCAATGGCGGCAAGGACCGACAACAATCAGAAGTCGAGGGATTGTGATGATGATTTTTACAATTGCTTATTATTTTAATATTGGTTGACATTCCGGGATCCAGCGTCGGGGACCAGACAGCAGTCGGTCTTGTCCTTGATTCTTGTTTGGCCTTTTTGACCTTTTTTTGGGACACATTCCAGTGAATCTCTCTTTCCGAAACCATTACCGTACTTGATTTTTTGGTTTCTTCCGCGGATGGTTCCTTTAATAAATTGAAAGTTCTTCAAAAGTCATATTTTGGATGTAGGTTTCGTGGACCCATGGATATATTAATAATAATATCCATGGGAATATCGGAACAGCCGGTTCTGCAAGTTTCTTTTCTTTGGTGTACCCAAAATCGTGCGCAACTGTTGCTTCCGCGTAAATCAGCATGATGAACCAAATCCAAAATAAATGTCCCGGCCCAGTGGAATTCCAGAAGCCGATTGCGCACTTCTGGAAATAAATTTATTTATTAATGTGATGAATGTATTTTCGGAGTTTTTCGTTACCATTCGCTGAATATGCCCTTATTCCTTTTGAAAACCACGTACGAGAATGAGTGGACTTTAACGAAATGGAGTTTCAGTAAAGAGACGTGCTCGCAGGTTCTGTCTTCTGTTTCCTTAGGTCGAGAGAAGAATATTACTATTCTCTACCGAAGGAAGTAGACGTGCAATCCAGCGACATATGTTGAGCGGGGCCATAAATTATACAGACCCGCGCAGTACTGGTATTAATAATGCAAGTATCCCTACCATTAGCACCTAATCGGTATTTGATTTACACTAAAATGCTGCGCCAATATTAACCCCGGTCGCCCTTTCCGTCGTAATGCCTGGGTTTCGAAACCCAAAAAAATCCTCCCCGAATCCTATAGGTCAGGAGACCTATAAGACCCCATAGGGATCCTATAGGATCCTATAGGTTTTTCGTGTTTCAAAAACCTATAGGAAAATCTATAGGTTTCCTATAGGACATTTCCATAAGGGCACACACGTGGGGCCAACGTTGGGCCTATGTTGGAATGCAACATTGGTGGGCCTTGGCTTCCAACGTTGGGCCAACGTCACATGCCAACATGCGGTATGACATTCAGGCGATTCAAGGAGGTTTTCATTGAGATTGAATTTCCGTACGTAATTGTTCAGCTCCCCTACAGGAGACCATGCCACCGAGTCTCTCTCGGTCGGGCTTGAAGTACTTCACTCGAGTGTCATCTTTTGAGGCATTTAAATTCCATATGGGATTCGAGCCTCATTGTGATTTCACTCGCCATTCAGATTCGTTAACCGATATGGAATCGCTCGTCCGACAAGACTCGGACGATCACGTATTTCATCACACCCGAACCTCCCCTTGAAGGGGAACCAGACGAAGCCTCCACAATCGAAGGAAACTTGTTTCTTTCATCCGCGCCCTATTTAGTGAAGCCCCGATTTGAACCATGCCTCCTCCACGATTAACAGGAGTCTCCTTGGACTGCTTAACTCGTTTAAACAAATGATTTGAGAAATTCCAGTGTCTTCCTTTACGTTCTCAATGGAAATGGATCAAGAACCGCAAAAGAGGTGCTGGGATATTAAGTTAATGAGTCGTTCCATGATCCCACTGAAATAGCGGCTGCATAGTCGCCATCTCGCATCAACTGTCGGAAGCTTTTTGCTCAAGTAACTGAGACAGATGTCTCATCCTGAGACATGGCAGATGTTGCCTGCCGCCATTGCGCCGATGTTGGGCCTACATGGGCAGCTCACTTCGATGTGGACCCTACACTCTTAGAAAAAGGGGAGCGATTTTACCCAAAAAAGAGAGTAAAATAGCTAACTCCAGTTTCACCCCCCTTTCACTCTGGGAAAGGAGCGAATTTACTCCATTACCAAGGAGTAAAATTACTCTCCTCCACCGTGAGTAAAAACGTTCCCATTAGAAAGTGATAGGGATGTCATGCAAATATGAAAGTTCTCATATACTGTGCGTCGTTTCGTTCTCGTACAGACTTTGACCTACCTCTGCCTGTACTAAATTCAGCACATGTCAGAGGGTGGACGACCTCTTATAGGTTCCATAGTGTCCGAGATGTCAGTTCTTATTACCTCATTCAATTGAGGTCAGTACTGAATGAAGTTCACTGACGTTGTTTATTCTAGATCTCTTATGCGGATAAGAGCTTACGTGTTCCAAAAGGAATATGAGGAATATGATAGGAATTCAATAGGAATATGAGCTTGTTTATGGCCTGGACTCCANCGCTGGTGTAGCGGTAGTCGAACTTGGTGAACCACCACATCAAGGGAGCGGCTGCAGGGATCCAGGAGACCAGGGTTCCATCCGACCCAGCCTCCATCACAAGCACCTTCGCTTTCGGGTTCTCCGTCAACCGACTTGCTATCACGCTCCCGGTCGTCCCTCCTCCCACTTCAGAAAGTGGATGCAGGTGAAGTATAAGATGATTGGCAACAAAAGATTTCTCTTTTTTTAAGGCAATTTTTTAAATTTTGAATATGCGCCAGAGGGCATGCTTTAAAATGGAACCGACTGGGAACAAAGTTAAGAGCTTAAACGTTTTATTAAAACCTTAATGCTGTTACCAGAATGAGACTTAATACAGTATTTGAGTACCAAAATATTATTTTCACACTATATATTCCACATAAAGAATTCCTGACTTTTGTTGCATACA